GTTTTGTTACATGTCCTTTTGCATAGCACAGAGCTGCAGTTTCCAAGAACCTATCTACAAGACAAGTGGGGACTTATTATACACAGAGAACTTCCTTTTTCATCACTGCCCAGTGCTGTGTGTCAGTGTAAGGATGCATTCTAGTTTATTTCACCAGTCTCTTATTAATGGATATTTGGGTTATCTCCGATCTTTTGCTACTACAAAAAAATACTATGATGAATAACCATGCACACACACATAGGTGTTGGCATATTCACAGCATAAACTGTATTAGGAGAACTGCTGAGGCTAAGGGTACCCATAGGCATGCTTCTGACACATTACTGCCAACGGGCCCTTACTGGGTGGCATCAGTCTCAGCTCCCACCAGCACGTGTGAGTGCCAGGTTCCCACGGGAGTGAAGGTCTCTAATGCTCACTTCACAAATGGGGTAACCATGGCCCTGAGAGTCAATTCCAGGACTATCCAACTCCAGAACTCATGCTCTTTATGAACCAACTAGAGAACCAGTTATAAAACAGATAAGCACACAAAGCAGAAGAGGGAGAAGACAGGTAGAAGGACAAAGAGAAGAGTGACTAAGTCCTGCTGAGACAGCTTCATGGAGCCACATCCTCACCTTGTGGCTCTTTAAGAAAGAGCACATAAGACATTTACAGGACAGTTGTGTTGTCATAACTATGGGAATAAGCTGAGCCCATGAGCTGGAAAAAGTAGGGTGAAGGCTGAATCTAGCCCACAACTCCCAACTGCTACTTTTTGCTCCATTCTTAAAAACCTTCTCAGTAGCCAGAGCTCTCCCACCTCCCTTACTATAGGGTATGGTCTTCAGACAAGTGTTGGAATAAGATGATGCTGGGTCTAGAGTGGACTGCAAACAAATTATTTTTGTTGTTGCTTTTTTAAGAGATGGGTCTCATTATATTGCCCAGGCTGGTCTGGAATTCCTGGGCTCAAGTGATCCTCCCACCTCAGCTTCCCAAGTAGCTAGGACGACAGGCACATGCCACTGCACCTAGCTTATCTCTGTTTTGATGATGTATTTGTAAAAAAGAAGGTATCCACTTATCCTGGAGGGTTGGGGAGTAGTGAGCTATTATTACTATAAGCTATTCAGGAGATAGCCCTAAGTAACTTGCAAGGATACACACAAACCTAAACCAGGGTAACAGTGTGGCCAGAGGCCCTTTAGCAACCAGGTAAGAAGGTCTGAAATCCGATGATTTTCTTGGAAACAGTACTTCTGAAAAGACAGAGTATAGGTGGCTATTTTCTCAGTGTGGATAAGCAGTCCCTTCAAAAACTTTTTCATCTGCCTGACAAATCATGTTTTTCCCCTGCACTACATAACTTCATGATGAGAACTAGGACAGACACATGAAAAATAAGAATAGAAACCAGTCTATAATAATGCACTATAAATGTATATAAAATGTTACTGAATACAAAGAAAGGGAGAAATCAACTAGGATAAAGATAATGAGGGAAGACTCCTTCAAGTAATGACTGCAGACAAACCGTTCTTTTAAAAACATCATGTTGAAGAAAACACTGGCCCAGGCTATGGTAAATGCACAAGTTTTGGATTCCTAGGGTTCAACCCTGTCTGCATTTGCCAGGTGGGCATCTGTATCACCACATGAAGGTCTGGTCTTCATTTCCATAGATTCTAGATTTTACACAGCAGTCCTTCTAACCCTCTGGGGGTAGGGTGGGGTAGGGGCTTCTGTTTGGGTCCTTCTAATGAGAGACAGCTCGTCCTTCTCAGCCTGATGAGACACTCAGACTGGTGAACCTGTGTTGGACCAACACTGTCTCCCAAGTCATTAGCCCGAAACAACCTACTGATGTGGGGCCTCCCTGCACACATTTTACAGTGTTCCTGGAAGACAGCAGCTTCAGGATGGGGCAGAGGCCTCAGCCGGGCTCCTCCCTAACGAGGGAAATACCAGGAGGTTGGACTGCATGACAGGCGGCATCAGAAGACAGACAATAAACAATGAATTCAACCCTCCCGAGAAAGGTCTGTCCACACCAAAACTGCCCTGTCCTTTGTCTAAACCAAGAGACAAGCCATGTAAGCTTAAGGATATTCTAGGGACCACCTGAACATAGCTATTAAAATTCTCCATTAGCTTCCAGAACCTGCAGAGGCTGCGTGATCCACCAGATATAATTTGGAGCGATGTGGGCTTGGCTTACTCTTGCCCTACAGTAAAAATATGCCCACGAATCACGCATGTGGTAATACTAACTCTGTGAGCCCAGACATCTGACCCTTCTTGGTTATCTGCTGCATCACCCTCCCTCGGGCACTCCTATCATAGCTGCTGGGCTTCCTCCCACTCACTCCTGTCCAGGATGGAGAAAGGGGTACTGGGAATTGGTGGGGAGGGGTGATGTTCCACTCTTGATTGAACTATTCAAGTAGACCAACCAGGGAACAATCCTCCTCTGAACAAAAAAAAAAAAAAGCTTTCCCAGGATTCTTTAAGTCAAGAGCTCCCTTTGAAACAATCTCATTTATACCAGCTTTGCCCTGGAAGCTGTTTTGCAAGCGGCTGTCTCTGTACCTGAGCACAAAGACAGCCACCAGTGCCAGCCACAGAGTCCAGGTACTGCTTGACAGAGCAAACCCTACCAGTTCAGGGGCCAAAAGCTTAAAACTTGTTTTCACAGGAGGCCACAGGAATAAGTGATAAATTCCATGAACACACAGTGGCACAACCTGGCCAGAGAATCAGAGAAAGAGGCTTTCCATGTTGCCCTTTCTCCAGGAACATGAAATAACCAGGGGATGTTAGGACCCAGCATGGTCAGGTTGCTGGAAGGCCCCTGGGGGAACTAGACTGGCTGGAGAAGGCCGAGGCCAATAAAAGCGTGGGAGGCAGCATGCAAGGCGGTAAAGATGCCTGTGGGGGAGGCTGACACAGGGGGCAGCCACAAGCCACCCCCGCCTCAGAGTGGGTGGGGGCCAGGAAAACTGTGGCTGGAAGTTTGAGACTGGGAGGCCGGTGGCAAAGGGCAACTGCCCTTCCACCTGCTCCTTCCCTGGCTGCAGAAGGCCCCTTGCAGCCTCCAGGCCAGGCCATCTTTCCCTGTGGGGTAGGTCACGCTGGGCACTTTGTCCCCCTTCTCTGCAGGTGAAATCAGAGCGATGTGAAAATGAAGAACAGACTCAAAGCTACGGAGGGGTAGACTGTATGCCTTGGCTTGGCAATGGGCTGAGGCCAGCCCCCGGATCCTCCGGCACCAATAGCCCCTTTTCTTTTCCCACCCCAGGGCTGCTTCTCTAAGTTTTGCTCAGAGTCAACAGGAGTGCCCCAGGCCCTAGGGGGAGCCAGTGGGTCCCTCTAGGTCAAGGTGGTGGGGAGGGTTAAGAGCCAGCCTGCTTGGCTGTCTGTCCCCTCACTTTCTCACTCACTCACCTGTGAGCTGACTGACGAGGACCACCAGACAGCCTCTCAACAAGGCCAATCTTCCTACTCATTGTAAGAGGTAGGTAGGTAGGTAGGTAGGATTGACTGATTTATTTTAGAGACAGGGTTTCGCTCTGTCGCCCAGGCTGGAGTGCAGTGGCAGCTATGATCAAACTGGCCTTAAGAAAACCTCCTGCCTCAGCCTCCCAAGTAGGTGGGACTACAGGCGTGTGCCACCATGCCCAGCTAATGCGAAATGTCTTTAGATGGTCTTTAAAGAGAGGCAACTGCCATATTGCAGGTGCCTGGTTGAGGTTCCAGCCACCCCTGCCCTTAACCCCAAGCTCTGCGGCCTCCTCAGACGTCAGCAGAGTGTCCCTATCCAACAAAGCTCAAAGTACAAGGATGCTGAGGACTGAACATGTCAATCAACTGTACCCTTTTTCCCACCAAAGAGCAAAACAGAAAAATAGCTTCCCTGTAACAAAAATTACTCCTGCTGTCAGAGGAAGCTGTACCTGGACCACGTGCTTGCAATTCCACAGGCCACTGCTTTTACTGTACTGACAGTTGTTAGTTTTCTGTGAGGCTATCAGGCTACGTGTATGAAGACTGGTAAGAATCTTATTGATTCTCTCCACAGATAAAACTATTAAGAATGACACTCACTGTACCATACTGTCCTCTTTGGAGAACCCACAGGAGAAGAATTCTCTAACCTCAATAACAGAAACAGCTCTTTTCACTGAGCAGCCAGTCTGTTTTTAAAGGTATTGGCAAAATGGATAAAAATTTTCCTCTTTGCTTTGGCTGCTAGGAAGCTCAGAGCCAAACATGCAGC